AGACAACTTGCCTGATGATTTTTAAATGAGCATAAAAGGCCCTTTAACCTATGCAGGTTTCCCCATTGCGCATATAGAAAATGCTAGTGTGTTTTGCTCACTTCATGTGTAACAGGTGCCCTCATGTTGTGCTGTATCCTGTGCTTTTTCTGTGGGACCATTCCATTCAGGAACAAAGAGCACCATGATTCCACACGTGTGTATTTACTAACCCTTCCCTGAGGTTTGTGTATGTTGGATATTGTGGTGTTTTAGATCACTGAGTGTACAGAAGAGAGAATTCAAACAAAATATTGTTGTTCTTCAGTTTTGTTTGTGGAATTTGAAATTACTCCAATTTAAAATAAATTACTGGACTGTGGAAATAACATGTAGAACTGCAGTATTTAATTAAATACATCTCACACCAGAAGAACGGAGGTTTCCATGGTTTCATACTGGATGCTGCAAGAGCATTCATTACAGGGTGTCATAGAGGGAATTATGGAGAAAATCGTGCATTTTGTCATTTACATGCGTATAGTTGAGAAAGTTTATGCTTTAGTCTTAAAAGCAGTTTCTAAATTAAATACTGGGCTACTTGTCATGTTTCCAGCATTTTAATGAAGTGGCACTTCAAGGTTTTAAGCATTTTCACCTAACTAAATCGTGTTACATTAACTTGAAATAAAAGTGTATTTTTTAAAAGTAGTTAGCATGACATTTCTTATCATGAGCTTAAAGAGTACCAAATTTAAATATTTACCATGGCTAAAAATATTAAACTTATTTCATTATGACTTAATTCTCTACCTTAGTGCCTAGCTTATATTGCTCTATAACACTCAGGCAAATTACCTAAGCTTCACAGTTTTTTAACACACACACCCATTGGAAATTTGTGTTAACGTGAAAACCATTTGTTTGTCATAGTGAAAATGTGGCCTGTTCAGGCCAGAGCTACATGATGTTCCCAGATCTCTTTCTACCTTTCATCATAAGGAATCAAGAGATATATAAGTCAGTTTGTTAACTTTTCCTGTAGTTGTGGAATGATGTTGTATTTTCCCTTCTTGAATAGAAGAAATTTGAAATATCGTATTTATTATGTGTAAGGGTGATTTGCCTATATGTATGTCTGTATGCCATGTGCATAGTTCCCTCAGAAGCCAGAACCTCGAGGAGCTCAGATCCCCTGAGATAGGAGTTAAGGTACCCTGTGGATGCTAGGAATTGAACCTGTTGAACCTGTGTCCTTTGGAAGAGCAGTCATTGCTCTTAAACACTGACCATTCTCCAGCCCTACTCTATTTTCTTAATTGTTTTATTGAGGATATTTTTCCCCGACAGATTCGCTGTTCTAATCATGTAGTGTTATCCTGTGATGCCATGTTGCCACTTAAAACTGTCCGTGTTGGGCAACACATAAAACAAACCTTGGTAATGTGCCAGCCAATCAGCAGGCTGCTGACTCTCTTATCAGTGTACCAAGTGCTTTTCAGAATTGCTGGGCAAATTATTTTATATGTATGGGTGTTTTGCCTGCCTCTACGTTCATGCACCATATCAGTGCCTCATTATCAAGGAGACCAGCAGAGGGCACTGGATCCTTTGGAACTGGAGTTACATACAGATGGTTGTGAGTCGCCATGTGGGTGCTTGGAATTGAACCAGGCTCTATTGCTCTTAATTGTACATTCTCTCTAACCTATTGGTTTGTTGATTCAGGGTCTCCATATATAGTCCATGCTGGCCTTCCTTGAACTTGAGATCCTTTCTTCTAAGCCTCCTGCATGTGGGGATTATAAGTATGCACCACCTGTCAGGTTATCTTCAAATCATAAAGTGCCCAGCCAAGGTATCTTCACTAACATTCTCTTGAGTTTATCACTGGGGTACGTTCTAGAATAAGAAACGTAAAACTGTACTAAACAGTTCTTAAATGTTGCTGGAACTAAGAAATGAGAAGACGAATGAGAAATTCTGTGACAAGCTATCTGATCTTCTGATATATAAAAATAGCCACTACATAAACAAACTCTGCTAGTGGTTAACAACTATGTACTCATGGACATATTAGAGCAACAGCAAGTATCACTTCTAGGTCTTTTTCTAGTACAGCCACCATCTTTCTCTGAGCCTTGTCTACCAAACTACTGGACTTTAGTTGGTCATTTCTGTCAGTGACAATGAAAAAAAAACAAAAAACCAAAGCTCTGTATATCGATGTAGAAAACATTCATTTGCTGTATGGAGCAGAGGAGTGCTTTGCCTGGTGTGTGAGGCCTGAGAGCGATCCCCAGCACTGCAGCGAGTTGGGGTTCTTTTGTGCTGCTATGGTTCAGTTCCCAAACACTGATGTGTGAGAGGCTGAAAAAGTTCTCCAAACTTCTTCCAGTTTTTCTTGAATTGGCTAGCGCATTTAGGTTTTTTTTTTACCAACTGTCACATGTGGGTTTGGGGCAATTATAATCCCTTTCTCTTATTCTAGAGACAAGAACCTTGCTGTTAACCTGGAACTTGGAGAAATTCTCTGGTCTCAGCCTTCAAAGTGCTGGGATTGCAGAATAAGCCACCACACCTGGTTCCTGGTTGGTTGGTTTTATTAATTTTTTTATTGTCTGTGGCTCAGTGCGATGGCACTCAAGAGGAATGAGAGGACAGCTTTGTAGGTTCCAGGGATCAAACCCAGTTACCCACTGAGCCAACTCAGTAGCCCTAAGTTTATATGTGTGTGCTCGTCTATATAAGTACGTTAACTTGAGTGTTGGTGCCCATTGAGGCCACAAAAGGATGCTGGATCCTCTGAAACATTACGAGCCAGAAACCAAACATGGGTTCTTTTCAAGATTTTAACTTCCCAGCCTCTTGTTTCAGTTCTTATAAAAGTAAAAATATTCCATGAAACTGAGTTCACAAATAAGTGACACTATATACTAGCCTTTTAGACAACCAGACATTAACATGAGTAGTCGTGGGTAAAAAATGATTTTAATAATTTTTATTTAGAATTTCATACATGTATTCAATTTACTATGATCCTAACACCCCCACTTTCTCCCAAGTCAGTGCTTATGTGCAGTTGTATGTTGGACCATCTACTGAAGCATGGGCAGCCTACCAGGACTTCTCTGAAGACTCCCTTGTCCTGCATTCTGCAGTTCTCAAAGCCCCTCCCCTACATATGCTAGGAAAAAGCACTGCTCTTTTTAACTGCTTCTTCAGGACGAGTGAGACTACTACAACGTGGGACTGTGTAAGCTATGACTACTCATTCAAGTAGACCATCAGTGGGCACACTAGATAGAGAAAAGACAATACCTTTCATTCAAGCTAATATACAGTCACATAAAGACTCCTTGGGCTCTGTAGAGTATGCCTTGAGAGCTATTTGATAAGAGCGTATGAAATACGCATCAAGAACAGGTGAACAAATACTGTGATTTGTTACCAGAATTAACAATTTTCACTGTTACAGGTCCTTGAATCAGCTACCCCAGACATCCTGCTGGGAATGCAGTCTGTCAGTGTGGAGTCATGCTGTAGTCTGCAGCAAGTCTCATAAATTACCTGAGTCATAACCATTGTATTTAAGTTGAGTTCAACTCAGTTACAGGTGGTTGCATCACTCGACTCCTGTATAAACATTCTGTTTAGAAACTGTTGCTACTGTGGCATCATTCAGTGTAAACTGCTCCTGAACCATCTATGCTTCTGCATGATAAAAATGCGCCAAGCATTATAACTTGGAAACTGCCTATGGTTTAATCACTCTGCCTAGTTTCCACTTACAACCTTACACTCCTTGACATCATAGTATTAAAGGATATAGTGAACGTAGAAATAACTGTCAATCTTCTGGAGCTACCAAGAACAATGGATTCTAGCAATACTGTCAAGAAAGCTTTATGTAGTCAAGTATGCTGGCTAAGCCTTTAATCTCAGCATTGGGAGAAAGAGGTAGGAGAACCTCTTGAGTTCAAGGTCAGCCTGTTCCACACAGTTCCAGGTTAGTCAGAAAAAGTGCCCTTAAGTAATAAAATTATTTAGTTCCTGACATTTTAGGAGAGATTGCGTACAACTACAGTCCTTTAGTGACCATAAATTCTCACATTTCCACGTTCAGAGTCCATAAAGTTCACAAACTCACTGGTTTCACCATTGATGTAAAGGAATTTTTATAGCTTGTATATTAGAACTACTGTGAAGTATCTTTATCCAAGCGGATCGGAAATAAGCATCAAAATGCTACACAGGTCATAAAATTTCAACTTTGAAATAGAAATTAACTGGATATGATGACTGATGCTTTCAGTCCCAGCATCTGGGAGGTCAAGGCAGGAGAAATGCCATCTCCAAAACATTCAGCTAGATAAAGTCTAACGTATTGCATGATGGGTCCATGCAATGATCTCTTAATTAAAAAAGATTATCGGCCATTCAAGGAAAAACTGCCATGATTCTTGAACCAGGTCCTCAAAAAAGGCCAGGAATAGCAGCATGGTTTGACTGGAGTAATCAACACACAGATACCTAATTATACACGGGAAAGATGGCTCCTTTCCCACCCAATGTCATCATTGTTCTAGCATCTATCACTCGAGCATTTAAAAAGTGTATTTTTATTCCTTTTTTTGTTGCTTTGTTTTTTTTTGAGACAGGGCATCCGTGTGTAGCCTTGGCTGTCCTGGAACTAGCTCTCTAGACCAGGCTGGTCTCAAACTCACTGCCTCAAAAGAGCTGGGATGCAAGGCGTGCGTTTACTCTTCAGATTTATGTGTGAAGTGGTTTTGCCTGTATGTATGCCTAGTTACTGAAGAGATGAGGAAGGGTGTTGGATGCCTGAGAACCGCAACTACGGTGGTTGTGAACTGCCATCCCGATAACTAGGAACTGAACCAGAGTCCTCTGCAAGAGCAACAAAGGCTCTTAACCACTGAAACGACTCTCTAGCCCGTCAAAAGTATTTTAAACTCAAGATATTAATGGTCCAGTACATGATAGAAGAACATGGGAACATATTTTAAAGTGGAGCAAGAATTAAGCTTTTATTGTTACTGACAGGCTTCATACTTTTTAGACAGAATCACCATTACATAAAAGCTCATCTAGTAAAGTTTTAGGTGGCCAGTAACTTCATCAATTAGCTCTACTGGTCCTGGCCCAATTCCAAGGACAGTTCGAGAGCCTGGTTCAATCTGAGTACGTCCAGCATCTTGGATTAAACTTACAGTCAGTCCCAACACTTTGGCATGGGTCAGTAATGCAATGAGGGTTTCTTCATCTGGGGCTTTGACCACCACTTTGGGCTGGCCACAGTACTCCCACTCTTTGAGCACTTGAGGGTTTTTCCTCTGAATCTGCTTGTAGGCAGAGACAGCAGCGTGAGAACACTGGGCAGCAACCTTCCCTTTCCCCATCTTTAGGTCAGTTCGAACCACAAGAATCATTTTGTACTCCCCACTCTCCCCAGGAATGCTTGCTTCGGTTTCTGTCTTGATGTCTCCATTTGTCTCACTTGTTGAGTTCTGGGGTAACATGCCAATGTGACCCCGGAGGCCCCAGCCCAGGCACATGCCACAAGCAACTCCAGCAGCCAAGCTGAGTGTACCAGGATGAGCCAAATACTCCATAACCAAGAATTTGAAGAGTACCTTAAGGGAAAAGAAAAAAACTGTTATCTAAAACTAGGGTTTCAAGCTATTCAGATAAACCACCTACAAGCAACAAGCAATATTTGAGAACCACACTAAGTCAAACAGAGGAAAGACAAGATGCATTGTGGGTCTTATGCACAGACCCTGCTTCCATCCATCCCCAAGTACTAGATGATTCAAAGATCCACAAGGAATAGTTTGGGCCATTTTGAATAGTCAGCAGACTCTTCAGTTAAAAACCCTACCATTCAGTCTTCCTTAAATTCTACGGGAAAAGGAAATGATGGCTTGGCCAATATGCGTAAAGAACTGTTGAGGGAGCTGGGCACTGATGGAGCTCATCTTTAATCCAAGGACTTGGGAGGCAGAGTCTTGCGGATCTCTGTGAGTTCAAAGCCAGCCTGGTCTACAGAGTGAGTTCCAGGACACCTACGGCTGTTACACAGAGAAACCCTGTCTCGAAAAACAAAACAAAAAATCAAAAAAGAACTGTTGGGGATCCAGTGGTCCTTGTACTCACAGAGAAGCACTTAAGAGAACCAGGAATGTTAATCACACAGGTGCATGTCTCCTCAATGGAAGAGATACAAACCAAATACTTACATTCCATCCAGAAAGCAACAATCTGGTGACCTTTTTGCTGCTAACCAAAGGGACAGACCTTACCCTAATTCTCCAGAATGGTTATTCCAGACTCTTCCCTCCCTAGACCATTCCCTATCCTTAGAATAGATGTCACAAGTACTTTATGGCCGGCTGACCTCTATGCTATCAATCAGAGACCACACTAGATTCTAGATCTTTTTGCTATAGAACCCACCCTCACGGTCACATGTACTTTGTAAGACTTTCTATGTAGTCACAAATTTAAGCTTTATCGCACACCTGGAATTGGACTAATTGTTGCCTGGAAACCTTTCCCCAAATTGTACTGTATTTAAATATGCTGACAGTGAACTGTCAGAAGTCTGATCCAGGTTGATGAGGTCAATCTGCACTCTGTTTCCATTCTTATTTCTTGACATGGTTTGCTTCCGTGCTGCATGACACCTATAGGGACCCCCTTCAAGGATCCTAAAGCAATAAAAACTAACTCTGGAAAGCAATGTAAATTTCTGTCTTCATAAGTCAGTGGTTCTCACTGTCATAGTAAGCCTGTAGGAGGTGCACTAGGCCATGAGTCAAGATGCTATAAGCGAAGTTTCAGCATTGGAAATGAGCATGGATGGAAACTTATCCAAGATCCTAATACAAATTCATGTTACATCTGAACACAAAGTATTTGAAGTGGGTTCTTAAATTCAGTAATTCTACAAGTGTAGCTATCCTAGAGGCATTGAATTCCTTTCACTCCTTCCCACCTTTAACAGGGTCACATCCTGTAGTACACCATGCCCTGGAACCCAGACAGGCCTTGCACAACCCTCTGGCCTTAACCTTCCAAATGCTGGGATTTGAACAACCAGCCTGGCTTGGATTTCTATGGTAATGGGAACAACCATCAGTTTCTTCCTCTAGTGTAGTGTCCAAGCATGAAGCCACCATTTTTACAGTACTTAAGTAACACTCTAAGAACTGTACAATACACGACCTAAATGGATAGGAACACTTATTTTAGCATAAATTTCCCTATTATTCTTCATAAATACATGTTAACATATGCTAAGTGAAGGGACTCTGGCCAGCTCCAGCGTAGAGAGCATGGCTCTGGCAGGCCTTGCCTTTTCTCCCATTCCCTCTGCCTTGCTCAAAACTATTAGATTACATTTCTGAAGCTAGCCACCAAGATCTATATCATATTCCTACGGGAATTGGTATGAAGAATATTTTGAGTTAAGCAATGACAGACTGGGATCGGCTTTTTTTTTTTTTTTTTGAGACAGGATCTCATTATGTCACCCGGGCTGGCTTCATACTTCTGACCCTCCAACCTCAGTGGTGCTGGAACTATAGGCATGTCCTAGAACAACTGATTCCTTCAGAGACAGTTTTTTGTTTGTTTTGTTGTTGGTTTGGTTTTTGAAAGAGGGTCTTACATAGCCCAGGCTAGCTTTGAACTCCACAGGAAGACAGAGCTGACCAATAACTTATCTTCCTGCCTCTACACCCCAAGTGCTGGGATTACAGGAATATGCCACCATGAATGGTTTTATGTGATGCTGGGAATCAAACCCATCATTTCATGGATGCTAGGCAAGTACTCCATCAAATCCTCAATTACAGTTCTTAGTCACTAAAGAGATACATACCATAAAGCTCATTTGTACATCAGGTGGCCACATGAACTATGTAGTTGAAATGCAGGTCAAAGTTTATAGTAGAAACTTTAGATGGTTCAGCTATCTATTTAAACCCAAGTGAATTAGTAATTACAAGCGTTTAAGAGTCAGTATGCGTGCTTTGATTATTCATATGATTACATGACATTGTCAGTATTAGCTCTCAAACTGAGAGATGACTTTATACTACAAAAACTCTGATCCAAATGTCAGATTATTTACAACATGAGTACTTTTCAGGGATGCAGCCATCCAGGGCTGGTGGTGCTGTGCTGAATCTAAGAAAGATAGTAACAATGCACCAAGCTCCTGAAAAAGAGCATCAAACTAGATGTCTGGATTAGACTTGGTTAGAAGCACAGACCTTTCAGAGTGCTGAAATAAATGGAAATGATTAAATAAAAGCCTGACTTTTCTATTAGGTTAGCTAAGGAAATCAGAGAGAGATAGAAATATACATAAAGAGAACGCACACAACTTAGCCAGAGTCTAAGTCTACAGTGATTAAAGCAGAAATTAAATAGCAATGCCTTTCTCTTTGTGTGTCTCTCTCTCCTCTCTCTTTTTCCAGATAGGGTGTGCACTCACATGGACGAGAATGTATGGAGGTCAGAGGCCACTTTCCTCCAGTGTGTGTTCTCTTCTACTGTGTGGGTCCAGGAAGTTGAATTCAGGTTGTCAGGCTAGGGGGTCAAGCACATTTTCCTAGTGTGGCAGTTCACTGACCCCTTTTCTTCCTTTCACTGGCAAAGACAATTCGATTTTATTTATTTGATTATCGAGGGTCTCTGTGTAGCCCTGGCTGTCCTGAAATTGGCCTCTACCTCCCAAGTGCTAGGGTTAAAGGCACGCACCACCCATCTGGTTGTGAATCCATTTTAACTGACAACCCTACAGGTAAAGGTTATAGTATACTACCCATCCTCTAAAGCATTTGTTTAACTCTGTGAGACTGTTGATTCTCTGCCTGTCTAAAACACCTGATGGTTTAATGAAGAGCTGAACAGCCAATAGCAATGCAGGAGAAACGATAGGCGGGGTTGGCAGGCAGAGAGAATTATAGAAGAAATTTGGGAAGAGAGAAGAGGAGGAGCAAGAGAACATGGAGAGATGCTAGGGGTCAGCCAGTATTGGAATAAGAGCTAAAGTAAGATATACAGAAATAAAGAAAGGAAAAGGCCCAGAGTAAAAGGTAGATAGGGTAATTTAGGAAAAGCTGGCTAGAAACAAGCCAAGGTCGGGCAATCACAAGTAGAATTAAACCTCTGAGTGTGTATTGAATTGGGGTTGGGTGGCGGGCCCATAAAGAGTAAAACCAACAACTACATTTTGGCATTCCAGCATGGGGCTAGGGTAAAAAAAAAAAAAAAACAACTACAGCTAGGCAGTGGTGGGTAAGCCTTTAATCCCAGCACTTGGGAGGCAGAGGCAGGTAAATCTCTGTGAGTTCAAGGTCAGCCTGGTCTGCGGAAGCTAGTTCCAAGACAGGCTCCCAAACTAGAGAGAATAAGAAACCCTGTCTCGGAAAAGAAAAAGAAAAAAAAAAACAACTTCACTGACACTTTAACACAATTCCTCACGCTGTGGAACACCCCCCCCCCCCACACACACACACAACCATAAAATTATTTCGTTTCTACTTCATAACTGCAAATTAGCTACTGTTATGAACCGTAATATAAATATCTGTTATGCAACCCCTGTGAAAGGGTTGTACAAACCCAGAGGGGTCATGATCCACAGGGTAAGAACCACTGCTCTAGGGCCTCCTGCATATTAGGTAAGGACTCTGCACTGGTGAGACTCACCCCTGCTTCTGCTGCTTAAAACTGCATCTTGCTAAGTAGCCTAGACTGCTCTTGAACATGATCACGATCCTTTTGCCTCAGTCTTCCCAGTAGCTGGGATTCCAGGTATGTGCCCACAAACCTAGCTCCCTCTTCATAACTCTTTTCAAGGTATACATTGTACGCAGATTTTAATGACTCAAGCATTCAACAGCCCCAAAGAAGGGTGGGGGAACAGAGAAACTAAAACCAAGAGAAGTCTAATAAAGCAGATGTTTGGTAGCTGTCTGCCAGGTGGAATTAGTAGTCCTCACAATTTCTAGGTGGCAAAGTAAGCAAATATACCATATACCAGACCAAGGAAAGTTAACCTCTCTACAAAGTGTCTACTACAGGATGGGTAATATACTACAACCTTTACCGATACATTTGTCAACTAAAATGGATTCACATTGGTGTGGGGGGGTGCATGCCTTTAACCCTAGCACTTGGGAGGTAGAGTCTGTTCTACATAGAGCATTTCAGAACAGCCAGGGCTACATAGACCCTGTCTCAATAACTACATAAATAAATTAAATAGAACTGCTTTTGTCAGTACACAACTAGGAATAAAGCTAGGAGGTTATAAAGAAGAGGATCTCCCAACTATGACTAAAGACTGCCAGAATGAAAAGCACACACAGAAGCACAGCTGCTCAGTAAGTGCCTGCCCAAGCTTGGACTTTACATCACACTTGGTACTAAGCCTTGTAGACAAGGATTAGGATTCAAAGTAGTTCATGTCTCCTCAAAACTCATTCCTTGGCCCAGGCATGGTGGTTCACACTTGTAGTCCCAGCATGCAGGAAGTTGCAGGAGGACTCTAGGTTTGAACCTAGCATGTTGTGATTGTCCTGCCTCAGTTTCCTGGGTGCAAGGCTTAAAGGCATCCTCGACCACAGCTGACTCAATATCCTTTAATGAGTATGCAATTTACCAAGGTATGCATAGCTCCAAAGCAATGTAAACTCTCAAAGAAGCTCACCCATCTTCAGACCATCAGTTACTTAGGGCGATATATTTATTGTTCTGAACATTAAAAGGAAGCTCTAACTCTCATTTTTAAAGATGAGAAAATGAGGATCAATCAGAGACGATATGGCTGAATTCTAAAAAAGCTAACAGCCATTACAAAAAGCTGCTCGATCTCATTTAAAAATCCGTGCATCAGTGACAAGCAGGGTAAGGAGAGAACAATGAAAACGTCCTACTCAGGCCCTACACTTCATGAGGTCACTAATAAAACTCAGATTGTTCAGACTAACTCCTCTCATGGGTGTTCCAGTCTGTCTCTCTTTCTCTGCATCCTCACTAGAAGCAAACCAATAAGCTCAGGGTTTGACATTGCTCATAGTCAGTCTCACAGACAACCTTTAACAACCCAGTAAAATAAGTGTCTCTATAAAACCCTCTTCTTTGGGCCTTCTAATTAGCCTGCTTCACCAAGAGTGTTTTCATCAGATCTCTTCTGATAACTTCCTGGGCTACGCTATTTGCAATGATCTACTTCACGGGTTCTTTACATTTTTCCAACCTAAAAAAAAAAATTCCTTGGGGCTGGAGAGATGGCTCAGAGGTTAAGAACATTGCCTGCTCTTCCAAAGGTCCTGAATTCAATTCCCAGCAAGCACATGGTGGCTCACAACCATCTGTAATGAGGTCTAGTGTCCTCTTCTGGCCTGCAGGCATACACACAGACAGAATATTGTATACATAATAAATAAATAAATATATTTTTAAAAAATTCCTTTCTAAAATTTTTGACCCACCATGGCATAATTTTCTTCTTTCAATTCCAACCTCAATTATCTGCTTCTCCTAATCATCACGTACTGGTCCCCCTCTTCCCCTATGCTACCAAAAGTGCTAAAGAACCAGGCATTTGCCAGGCAGTGGTGGTGCACACCTTTAATCCCAGCACTCAGAAGGCAGAGGTAGGTGAGTCCAAGGTCGCCTGGTATACAGAGCAAGTTCCAGGACAGCCAGGGTTACATAGAGAAACCCGTCTCAAAAAACCAGACATTGTCATTGCCACCACAGTTGTATCTTTTTGGGTTTCACTGAGTGTTGTGCACCCCTCCCTAATGACTTTTAAAACTTTAAATCTTCCTCTTTAAATCATTTAACATGACTCTGACCCAATGCTCACCTTACCTATCTGATACTTTTATAGTATCCTAAGAAAAACTACCTGGTATTTGCCTGGAAATATGGATAATATTATACAATCTTATATTGTTGGTCCTTCTGTCTGTATCTATGCTGTCCAATGTGGTAGCCACTAGTGTCATATAGTTAGGTACATTCAACTTATGGTTAAATATTCAGTTCTAAGGTTCAACAATCTCAAAGTGGCTAGCGACCACTCCATCAAACTGGGAGAGAGGACACTGTTATTATTGAAGAAACCTGCAAAACCAGACAAGTTGATGCATCTTTCAACAGCCTCGTGTGTGTTTGGGGCCAAGTAAGAATCACAATAAAGACAGCACTGGTCTATAAGCTCTTTTCCAATCCTCTCCAATCAATCAACCAATCAATAGACCAACCAAGCAGCCAATCAGTACTCTCTGAGGACTCATTATGCTCCAGGCACTGTGGCAAAGCCTCAAGAGAGAGCTCTCAAAACAAAGGTGACTTCCTCCTGCTTCCAGCTGGCCTTGACAGCAATAAAGTCAGTCAGGTTGTCCCTAAACAGGGACCAGAGACACGCAACACACTGTCACTCCCAGGAATTCCTTTCATCTTTTAGGGAACTCAACTCAAACAAAACTGGGATTTGTGACTTCATCACAGAAAGAATTTCAAAAGTAGCTCAAGATTTTATTAAACATAGACTTTCAAGCTCAAGGGTTGAGAGAAAAAGACACATGATGTGGTATGCCCTTATGTATGCTGTGAATATGTTTTATTACTGTTGGCTAATAAAGAAGTTGATTTGGCCAACAACAAGGCAGAATAGAGCCAGGAGGGAAATGCAAGCAAAGATACAAGTAGAAAGAAGATGGAGTTGGGGAGATGCCAGCAGCCGCTGGAGAAGTAGGATGTGAGGTAACAAGGCATGAGCCTTGTGGTAAAATATAGAATAACAGAAATGGGTTAATTTAAGATGTAAAGGGTAGTTAGCAACAAGCCTGAGCCACCAGCTAGTTTGTAATCAATGTTCAGTCTCAGAGTGGTTATTTGGGAACTGGCAGGCAGGAGAGAAACCTCCAGTTAGAAATGGCTCCCAGAAACACTCAGACAGACAAGACAGATCCAGTATCTTCCCTAAGACACAACCAAATGTGAACATGTGCTCAAGAAGAGTCTGTCAGGCCGTAGTGGCACACGCCTTTAATCCCAGGACTAAGGAGGCAGAGGCAGGCGGATCTCTTTAAGTTTGAGGCCAGTACCTGGTCTATAAGAGCTAGTTCCAGGATAGGCTCCAAAGCTACACAGAAGCCCTGTCTTAAAAAAGTCCCAGAAAGCAAGACATTCCTAGGCACGGAGACTCACACTGTCTTAGCCTTAGCCACATAGATCATTTTGATGGTTTTCAAGTTACACCTTAAAAGGATGGCTGCCAAGAAACATTATTTTTCACTCTCTCCTCTTTCTCTCTTTGGACAGGTGTCTTGGATAGAATTATAACCTGCTTAAAAAACAAAACAACAACAAAAAAAACAACAACAGAAGTCTGCAGCGTGGCAGTGGCCAATGTGTTTAATCACAACACTGGGGAGACAGAGGCAGGTGGATCTCTGTGAGTTGGAGGCCAGTCTTGTCTACAAAGTGAGTTCCAGGGAAGCCAGGGCTACACAGAGACATCTGTCTTCAAACTAACCAACGAAACAATCAGAAGCCACTAGGGTTGTACAGAGTCTTGGGACACAGTTCTTTCCCTTTAAATGGGGTTTCACGTGAGATTCCTAGACAACTGGGAGGGACACAGGCTTTAAGCAGTTGTTAGCTGTGTTAGCATGCTTGCTTCTCCCAGGTAAAATGCTTCGACCAGATTCCAGAGTGAGGGGTTCATCCCTCTTCCCATGTCCCTACAGTCTCCTTTCTATCCTGCACCAAGATGAACAATTTCATTTATTCCCAAATCCCTTCACATACAGGGTGCTTTGACCATGTGGATCTCCAGTTTCTGTTAGATTTCACCACCCAGAGTTTACAAGTATTTTTTATATTTGTTTTGATTGAGTTCTTTTTGCTGATCATCAAACCCAGGGTAAAGAGCATTACACCTTTTGTGTGTTCTTCCTTTATTTTTTGAGACAGGGTTTCTCTGTGTAGCCCTGGCTTGTGTTCTTGACTTTTAAAAAAATCTGTACTTTCCCTCCTGTGTTCCAATAGCACCAGTCACCAAATCCTGCTGTGTTTATTGCTGTAAGCCCACCTCCACTATTTCTATCGACGGTGTCCTAACTATTTCTTATCAAAAACCTCTAACTTTGCTAACTCCAATCTTTGAGGGAAGTTGTTAAGGGAGGAGCATCCCAAGTTCAAGACCAGACAGGGCAACTTGATGAGGTATAGTGATAAACCCGCCTGCCTCCATCTTCGACTTGAAAGCCATCTTATAGTAAAAACAAAACTATATTAGTTTCTGTTTATGATTAAATTTGTCTCTCAAGGATTGAGCTGTGGCCCACCTATAACTTTTTGTTTGTGTGTTTTTGTTTTTCAAGACAGGGATTCTCTGTGTAGCTCTAGTGCCTGTCCTGGAACTCGCTCTGTAGACCAGAACTGACCTCGAACTCACAGAGATCTGCCTGCCTCTGCCTCCCGAATGATGGGACTAAGGACCTGGGCTACCACCGCCCTGCTCCCACCTATAACCTTAACTACAAAGGGCTCTGTACTTGTCTCTTCCTGGAAATGGAAGTCATGCCTTTGTTTCGGAAGGCTCTTAGGACCTACTTGGTTTATGCTTATGGTTTGCTTCCGCAACCCCTGACTATCTGCCTGCCAAATGCCCCACTTAGAAACATTCGACTCCTGAACTGTGAAGCTCCTTCTCTTCCCAAGTCCAATGCTGATCTCCCGAGTCACTCCACGAGGGAAAGACTGCGCATGTACACAAATTAAAAAAGCCTGCTTTAATTAATTTGGCTATGATATGGGTCGATGGTCTTTCTCCTCGCATCTATGGGATTAACAAGCTCCATGTAGAGCGCTTGCCTAGCATGCACAAAGTGCATGCACCACAATACCAATAAATAAAAGTACTTTTGAATCCATCCTTAGAATTCTTTCCCTGTCGGAGCAGGCTGAACAACTCGAAAACGGACATTTTGTATTTACAGTGTCCTGCCTGCTCTCCATTTTCTCACGCTAGGACAGCGTACCAACGCCACCTAAACGAGAAGGCTTTGCTCGACACTAAAATTCTGGGTTCTATCCCTTCGCAGCATCTTGGTTTCTTCTTCCAAAGGAAGGTTTGCAGACCGGGCAAGACTAAGACAGTTTATGTGGTAGCTAAAAGAGAGCAGACTGTGGCATAAGATGGTAAGATACGTTCCGGTAGAGAGAGAACTGCACTCCTCTCCTCTCTATCGTCCTGGAAGGAACCGAGACTTACCTGAAGCACTACTTGTCGTTCACGCCTTGTGGTTCTCCGCTCCTGAACAAGGAACAGGCTTCGCGCGCGCCAACCACTTCTTCCGGGTTTCCAGAGAAACTAGTTCCGGATCAGGAACTACAAAGCGCAGTCATCCTTCCTCTTGTCACACCCACAGGATACGAATTGAGAAAGCCGAACCGAAATCCCGCGAGGACCCTCTCGGGTTGCCTCAAGGAAGGTGGAACATTTCTCTTTCGGAGGCGGGCTCCTCGGGGGACAGGACCGGAAGTGACGCGAGTGAGTTCCGGTTGGCCGGAGCCCAGCGGCGGGTGTGAGAGTCGGTGCTGGGAGCCGCTTCCAGGATCCTGAGATCCGGAGAAGCCGGGGTCTGAGCGGGTAGGTAGGCGAAAGCGGGAGTCGGGGGCGCACTCCCCAGCTCGACTTCTTCCGTGGCTCTCACACTTGGGCGGTGCAGATACAGAACACGCTGTTTTCCACTTGAGGAGTGTTTCAGGTCACTGCTGACAGGCTGTGTCAGCCTGACTGTAGCCAGGTTATGTGGGACACCTCTCCGCGGTTGGTTACCGGGACCTTGGCCCCAGACGCTCCCGACCGTTCGTTCCAGGCTTGGAAGCTGCCCTTGGCTTCTCCAGAGCACCCTCCTCCCGGAGTGTCCTGATGAAATGAGCTGATGACCGAGCTCCTCTCCAGGACCTTTCAATGCGCTGTTTCTCGTCCCCATGAAGCGCAGGCATGAGGGTGTCTTGACGGTACAGAATTGCCAAAGGAAGGGGCTTTCGTCTTTCAGAGCTCTTACTGTGAACCTTGGCTCTTCTTCCAGCTGTCAGAGAAAGGGTTCTCTGCCCTTTCCAAACCCCTAATCCCCAAATTTTGTATTTCACTGCAGTTGGAAGTACTTTGCAGCAAGGCAGGGTGGTCTACTTAAAAATCTTTACAATTTCAAAAAGCGTGTATGGGCTTGTGTCTCCTAATACCTAACACTTCTGACTCTCAGTTGATTTTTCCTAGCCATCCTTTGCTTTTCTTCTACCCCATCAAAAAAAGAAAGAAAGAAAGAAAGAAATCATGCATAGATTGGCGCTGTGCATGTATATTGGCAGTATAATTTCTTGTCTTGACTTTCAGTTCTTCCTTGATGTTTGTAGACATTTTGACAGACTGGTCATTTAGAGATCTTTCCCGGTATTTCTCTTGGCATAGTGAAGAATTTAGCATTCCAACTGTTTTGTTTTATTCTTTTGAGACAGAGTTTCTCTGTAGACCAGGCTATCTTGAACTCAGATATCATGCCTGCCTCCCAAGTTCTGGGCCCATCTGTATTCCAGCTGTTACTATTTATGAACTGTGTTGTCAGTGGGTCTGATTTTAGGGGAGAAACTTAACTTATTAAGTGGCAGTAGTTCAGACATAAACTCATGTCTGAACTACTCTAGCAAATGGTTCAATGCTGCTCACCAATCTAACTGCAGCTAGTTTCATCTGATTTTCTCAGATTATTCGTAGTTTTTGAGTTAACAAATTGTTGACACTTGTCTTTGAAACGAGGTGACAAGTTTTTTGGCAAGTGGAATTGTAAGTTTGATATATCATTAATTTTAAAATCTAGTAAATTTACTTATTGATTACACAAATACCAAATTCTTTTTTTTTTCCTTTTCTTTCTCTTGGGTTTTTTTGTTTTGTTTTGTTTTGTTTTGTTTTGTTTTTTTTTTTTTTGAGACAGACTCTTGTATGTAGCTCTGGCCGTCCTGGAACTCACAAAGAACCTCCTGTCTCGTTAAAGTCATGTGCCACCACACCCAGCCCAAATCTCATGTTCTGTTTGTTGTGTTATCCTTTGTTTGTTTTTGTCTTCCTAACTTTGACACAAATCCCTCTTTTAGGATTTTGAGACAAAGTCTTACTCTGTAGCCCTGAAGGGCCTCAAATTCACAATCCACCTGTCTCTGCCTCATGAGGTTAAAGGCCAATGCATGCAGAAAGATCATTAAATTTTAAATCAGATGACCTGGATTAAAGTCTGGGCTTCAACACTTACTAAGTAGTGATTGGTAAATTACCCAGCGTTCCAAGCTCCTCTTGATTGTGATGATTAAAGGTCTCACTCTGTCTCGTAGGACTGTCAAAGTGTTTGGTGAGATAGTCCTTATGAAGTCTCTCTGTAAGCTCAACTATGGTGTTTTTATTCAGGAACTAGAAATACATAAGTGGAGAGTAATGTTACTTTGGAGTATTTCAAAATTAAACCATTTATATCACGTCTTATTAATCTGAATATACTTTTACCCGTACTTATGATGATGGTCTTTGCCCTGTTTTTGAACACAAGAAAGCTAGCCTAGAGTAGCTTGAAATTAGTCATCTTAGTTAATAAGTAAGTGGCTACCAGATATGCATAGCTTTGCATTTGAGAGTTTAATTCTGACCTTTCTCAGTCATCATGTATTGTCAGGTGAGAATTACCAAGTACAGAAAACACTGAAGTTTTTAGTGTGTATGCATAACTGACTAGTCATTAAAAGTAGCCTATCTTTGCTTACATTAAGTAAGAGCCCAGAAACCAATATTTAGAATTATAGTTAACTCTTTAATGCATAGTTAGTGCCTTCTCATTTAATAGAGGGGAAAATTAGGGCCTATAAACTATCAGTGCTTGGCTGGACTCAGGACTTCTAAAGTAGGTAATGCCAGAGCCTGGAGTAGACTTGAGATCTTGAGTAGACTCAAGGGCTCTTTCCATTCTTCTGAAGTTGTCCTGAGACCTCCTGGTGAGCTTTGGTAATAGCCTGGTTTGCATAACACTGTTTTCTCATGTATGGAAGAGGGACACGTGTTATATGTCTGTGATTCCCTCCCTACTTTTGCTTCTTTAATCCAGTAAATTGTAGGGAAACAAACTGCTCATTGAGATTCATAGGGAAAGCCAGGGTGGGGACACCTGTGGTCACAATTCTTGGCAGACTGGGGTGGAAGGATACTACATTCAAAACCAGTCTGGGATGGACTACATAGTAAGAACCTGTTGCAAATAAAATTTCTAAAAATTGTTCAGTAAGATGTATTAAGGAAAGGAAATTACTTATGTTTTCCAGAATAGTCTCAGTTCACCATCAATTGTATCAGGTATTGTGAAATGTCATCATTTAAGTGGAAATGACAGGAGCTCTGTAATGTGCCTCTTACTGATGTTACCAATGCATAGGGGAGAGCTTTTTCTTTTCCTTCCTCCTGATATAAAGAACTTTTTGAGCTGCTGGAATACCGATAACTCTATTTTATTAATTTTCACCTACAAGGCCATTTGTCTAACTGTCATTCTAAGTAAAGAGCCTTTGTAGAAGAATAAATGCTTTGTTTTGATCCTTTACTTCCACCGGCTACACAGCAGCATTTCGCTCCTTCTGCGCGGAAAGCAGTAGTGGTAGTGTGACTCTGGGAACCGGACACACTGAAGCAGTCATAATGTTGATAGTCTGCTTTCACAGGGATGTGCAAGTATTCTTTCAGAGTAAACTTGTTTGGGGGTGGGGGTGGTGCTGGGATTGAACCCAGAGCCTTGTGCCAACTATCATAGGTTCAGCTGCTGGCTAAACCCCAACACCTAGAGTAAACTTTTTTGTTTGGGTTTTTTTTTTTTTTGGTTGTTTGTTTTTGTTGTTTTATAGAGAGCGCTCTCCTAGCTGGTCTGGACTTCATTATATAGACCAGTCTGGCTTGAAACTTAGAGAGCTCTGCCTGCTTCTTGACGGCTAGGGCTAAAGGTGCGCTTTACCGCTCCCTGCTAGAGTAAATTTTAAAGAGTGTGTTGTCTCTAAAAACTCTCTGTTCTGTTTTTTTGTTTTGTTTTACGTATTATCCCTTTTTTGTATTTGTAATTTTTTAAAACAATCTTTTCTCATTTTACATGACAATTCCAGTTCCCTCTTTTACACCTCCTGCTCCCCTCACCGTTCACCCACCCCACCCCTATCCACTCTTCAGAGAGGATGAGGCTTCCCATAGGAAGTCAACAAAGTCTGTCATATCACTCTGAGGCAGGACCAAGGCCCTCCCCTCTATATCTAGGCTGAGCAAAGTATCCCTCCAAAGAGAATGGCTTGTAAAAAGCCAGTTCAAGCACTGGGGATAAATCCTGGTCCCACTGCCAGTCACCCCGCAGATTGCCCCAGCAACACAACTATCACCCCCATTAAGAGGGCCTAATTTGGGCCTGTGCGGGTTCCCCCACTGTCATTCGGGAATCAGTGAGCTCCCACTAGCTCAGATCAACTGTCTCTGTGGGTATCCCCATCATGGTCTTGATCCCTCTGCTCTTATCATTGCTCCTCCCTCTCCTACTAGATTCTGGGCGCTCAGCCCAGTGCTAGCTGTGGATCTCTACATCTGCGTCCATCAGTTGCTGGATGAAGTTTCTGTGATGACAATTAAGGTAGTCATCAATCTGATTACAGGGGAAGGCCAGTTCAGGTACCCTCTTTGCTATTGCTTAGGGTCTTAGCTGGGTCATCCTTATGGATTCCTGGGAATTTTCCTGGTTTGAGGTTTCTTGCTAGCCCCATAATGGCTTTCTTGTCTATTTTCCCTTCCCAAGGGGATCCATGTGTGCCTCTCTTATGGTTCTCCTTGTTACCTAGCTTCTCTGGGGTCGTGGACTGTAGGCTGGTTGTCCTTTGCTTCATATCTAATATCCACTTTTGAGTGAGCACATTCCATGTTTGTCTTTCTGAGTCTTACTTCACTCAGGATGGTTTCTTCTAGTTCCATCCATTTGTCTGAAAATTTCAAGATGTCATTTTTACCCCCGAGTAGTACTCCATTGTGTAAATGCCACACTTTCTTTATCCACTCTATGGTTGAGGAGCAACTAGGTCATTTCCAGGTTCTGGCTATTACTAATAATGCTGCTATGAGCATAGTTGAGCAAATGTTGTTGTGGTGTGGGTCTGTGTCCTTTGGGTATATGCTCAAGAATGGTATTACTGGGTCTTGAGGTAGATTGATTCCCAATTTTCTGAGAAACTGCCATACTGATTTCCAAAGTAGATATACAAGTTTGCACTCCCACCAACAATGCAAAGTCTCTATTTGGTTTGCTTTGGTTTTTCGAGACAGGGTTTCTTTGTAGCTTTGGATCCTGTCCTGGAACTAGCTCTTGTAGGCTAGATTGGCCTCGAACTCACAGAGATCCTCCTGCCTCTGCTTCCCGAGTGCGCCACCACTGCCCGGCGAAAGTCTCTATTTTGTTTAGGAGGGTAACTTTGGATAGAATTTGCTTAACTGAAGTTATTATGTAGTTTATAAATCCTTACATAAAGCTTATTTTAAAATGTGCTCCTTGAAGGGCTGGAGAGATGGCTCAGAGATTAAGAACACTAGCTGTTCTTCCAGAGGACCCAAGTTCAATTCCCAGCACCCACATGTTTAAATTAAGTGGTGACAATCCCTTGAGTACTTTTATTCCAGCTTATCTACCTATAATTACTAGAATTGCTAGTGTCCTCTGACTGTTTTGTAGATTGCTGTGGTGTTTTCTCTTCTTTGTGGGATTCTTTCAGTGTAGCTGTAGTCTTCATGTCTTATCTGGAAGAGCCACATCAGTAATGTACAGAATGCGGAGTTGAGGGTTGGACATGGTGGTGCCCACCCCCACTGGGGAGGCAGAAACAGGTAGATCTCTTGAGTTCAAGGCCAACCTTGTCTGGGTCTGCAGAGTTCTGTGCA